TGCCTGCCTGACACAGGGTGGCCAGGGCTCTGGGGTGGCTGGGTGGGGGCAAAGTGGGGAGCAGGGAGCTCCCCAGGGGCCCTGGGCATGGGCGGTCCCAGGCCAACGGCTGTGAGGTTAGGGCATGGCGGGCTTGGTGACAGGCCACAGCTGGGGGAGCAGGGCCAACCAGAAGGCAGGGACCCCACAGGAGACAGGCTCCTCAGAGCCCTGCTGTGATTGCCCTCCCTCTGATTTACTGGGAGGGAAACTGAGGCTGAGAGGCATAGTGGCTTGGCCATGGCCGTACAACCCACAGGAGGCAGGAGTAAGGTTGGAGGTTGGGTCCTGCCCAGCCCATGGGGCCTGCCTGCCCCTGCTCACCTGGTCCAAGTACCGGGGCAGCACCTCGGCCAGGACTTTCTCAGTGTTCTTGCTGATCTCGGAGGGCTTCAGCACCACGCAGTTCCCTGCAGGGCGGGGTGGAGCAGGGCGAGAGCTGGGAGATGGGTAGCCACTCCAGGTGTCCATTCACTCCTCACACCTGCACTCCACCTTCAGGTGAAGAATCTGGCTCAGAGAGTGATATGAGGGGCCCAAGGCCACACAGCCTGGGAATGATGGGTCAGACAGGAGCCAGGCCTTCTTGGCCACCTGGTGCCAGCTCCCCCCTCTTCTCCTTGGCTCTGTAAGTGGCTGAGGGGCCATGAGGGAGGGGGTGGTGGGAAGGTGGAGGCTGGGCTCTCACCTGCTGCGACGGCGCCCACCAGAGGCATCAGGGACAGGTACACGGGGTAGTTCCACGGAGAGATGATGAGCACCACGCCCAAGGGCTCCTTCCGGATGAAGGCGGAGTCCAGCTGCGTGGCCTGTGCCGGGGCCAGCATGGTGGTGAGTGGTGAGGCGCTGACGCCTCAGCCCCTCAACACCCACCTCTGTCAGAGTGGGAAGCCCCTCACCCCAAAGCCCACCTGCTGCCCACTTGCCCGCCCGGACCCCAGGCTCGCTCACCAGGTTCTTGGTCACTTTCTCATCCTTCATCCAGGCCCGCAGGTTCCTGAGGGCCAACTTAACCTCACGCTGGCTCGTGCTGGTCTCAGCCACCTCCGACTCTATGACCGACTGCAGGGGGGGCAGAGGCAGGGCTTGGGCAGGGGACCAAGATCAGCAGGTGGCTGGAGCCCTGGGGAGGGCACAGCCTCCTCTGGCAAGGCCTGCTGTTATCTACTCATTCACTCTGCACGTTCAGTGAGTGCTCACAGTGTGCAGCTGCTGCTCTCGAGCCAGGGGTGCAGCCGAGACCAAAACAGACAGAAAACTGGCCCCGTGGAGCTGACATCGTACGGCTCCATGACATTGAGATAACAGGCAACACAATATTGCGAACACTGACTCCTACACTAGGACGAGACGGTGCAACGGAAAGATGCAACAGGGTGCAGGAGCGTGTGTGTATGTGTGTGGGTAAGCACAAGTGTCAACAAGCGTGAATGTGTGTGCAAGTGCATGAGTGAGTGAGTGATGTAAGAGTGAATGTGTGAACGTGTGCATGTATGTATGTGTTTGCTCTGTTTTATACAAGGTGGTCAGTGCCGGCCTCAGGTGACGTTTGAGCAGTGAAGAAAGGGAGTGGAGGGAGCCCATGAATATATGGAGGCAGAATATATGGAGGCACAGCATGTGCAAATGCTCTGAGGTTCGTACCAGCTCTCTATGTTCCTAAATAGCCGGGTGCAGAATGGGTGAGGTGATGGGGCCAGGCAACTGGGGTGAGGACTGTCAACCAGAGTAGGGACAGGGTCTAACTTAAGTTTGTACAGGACTGTGTGTCCCACTGTGGCCCGCTGTGTGGATATTGGTCCGTGGAGGACGCTGAGCACAGGCATCCCTGGGTCCCACAGCCCAGGGGCCATGCATCACTGTCAGATTTCTAGGGCAGGAGGGAGGAGGCGAACATCAATAGGGACATTGTCTTGGTTTCTGTCTCTGTAGCCTGCCCCACCCCCACCAGGGAGCAGAGACCCACCCCATGGGCTGTGGGCAGCTGGGGGCCCCTGGCCAGAGGCACCAGAGCCAGGCTGTCCCAAAGCCTGAGATTCGGCTCTTACAGCACAAGTGCTCCCCTGCAGAGGGCACAGCGATGGCTCGAGGGGTGCCAGGATGGTTCAGTTCAAGGGTGAACGGAAGCCCAGAAAAGGGAACCTTAGCCAGGGTCACTCAGTAAGCCAGCGGCAAGGCCAAGACCAGAGCCCTGAGAGGGACGGTGCTGGGACCTTGGGGGAGGAAGCCACACCCACCAGTGCTAGTCAGAGCTGAACGGGGTTCAAGCTTGCCTTTCCTACACATGAGTGCACAGCCCAGCTCCTGCCCAGGGAGCTGGCAGACCACTGCACCTGGTAGGTCGCCTGTGGCCTGAGTGAGGTTTGGGCTGGTTTAAGGGACAGCCTGGACCCAGCTGAATGCCGTGACTTGAGGAGAGTAGGCCGTTGTGAGCCAGGGCTGTGTGCCCGCTCTGAGCTTCCTCTGGGAGTGACTGAGTGTGGCTGCCCTACCTGGAGGCCTGTTGAGGTTAAATGAGAGGATTCAGGGCCAGCCGAGTGGCTCAGTTGGTTAAGAGCTCGCTCGAGAGTGCGAGCTCTGAGCAACAGCAGTTCGAGGCCTGGCCCGGGCTGAGCAGCTGCTGAGCTGCCAACAGGTGGCAGGATGGCTCAGCTTTAAAAAAAAAAAAAAAAGATTCATACAGAGCAAGGCAGGGGAGGGCAGGTGCCACCGCTGGGAGGGTGGGGGACAGTGCATGTGAAACCAGAGGGAGGGACTGGGTTAGATTTTCTGGGCTGCTGTTCCCTTTGTGGGGCCCAGGCTCCGGGAGAAGTCAGAATGGTTGGCAGCAGTGAAACCTGAGCCAAAGTGAGAAAAGGGACCAGATAGATAGTTGGCTCATGTCTCATGTGGAAGGGCAGGCTGGGACAGCAGGTGGGTGGCGTGACAGCAGGTAGGTGGTGGCAGAAACTCAGTGGGGGGTGCCAGTCTCTGACCAGGCCCAGTGAGTGGGACACTCCCCACAGGGAGGCAAAGCTGGCCCCTTGGGAGGGGAAGAGCCGAGGAGAGTGCGGGTTCCCTGGTTTCATAAATGGGACAACAAATGATCCCAGAAACAGCTGATAAGGGAGCCTGAGTCTCCCCTGGCTACAGTCGTGGTCAAGAGAAGGTTTGGGGACACTGAGAAAGCGAGGTGTCTCCAGGAGGCCATATATTCAGGACAACTCTTTGTGGCCAGTGTTTGCTGTCCCCATGGAACCAGGGTGTCCCTCACCATGACTCCAGATGCCATCAGACACTAGTCTCGAAATCTGTGACTGCTCCAGGGCAAGGCACACACTTGGCTGGGTGCCTGTGAAGCAGACGGGTCCCAAGGAGGCTGCCGAGGGACCCCTGATCCTGCCAGAGCCCGCAACTCTATCATGGTCTGAGTGGAGCCGGCAGGCCCACTGGAAAAGTGGGGGAGGAGGGGCAGCCTGTGGGCTACCTGCCCTCGAAGGTCTGAACAGCAGGCCTAGTGCAGCAAGGGTAGACCCCGGGGTCAATCTAGAGTCCCGTGTGTGGGCTCAGGCAGCCCCAGGGCCTTCCTAGGACATAACCAGGGCTTAGGACTAAGACAAGCTCAGCCCCCCAGCGCAAGCCAACATGGGACTGTTGTCCCCTGGGGACAGGAGGTAACCACAGGGGCTGGCCAGCAGCCTACATTCACTGTGGGCCCCTCCCAGGTGTTAAGCATCAGAATGGCACCTTTTCAGTTGGCAAAGAGCCACAGGCCTGGCCCTAGAGGTTCCAGGTGGTGAGGGGCTGGTGGGACAAAAGGGGTGTGTCTGTGGGGACACTGTGGCCTTTGCAATAAGCACAGGAGACATTCTATCTAGAGAAGACTGCCCTGGACAGCTGTCCTAGGGCAGCTAAGCAGATGGGCCCTGTTGATTGAAGGGACGGGAAGCTGCCTACGAGAAAGTACGTTTCTTGGGGTTCTGACATGGCTGCTGCTGGAACAAGCTGAGCCCGCAGGCCTCCAGGGTTTGGACAGAGGCCATAATGCCCATGAGTGAAGTCCTCCAGCCTGTGAGGCCCTGCATGGTGTAACTCACCTCCCTAGACCTTATTTTTATATTTCTCTGCCCCTCCCACTCCCCTCCAGCCATGCTGGCTCCCTGCTGCTCCTCAAGCACAAATATACTAAGTACCTCCTGCCTCAGGGCCTTTGCACATGCTGTGCCTGCTGCCCTTTCCCCCAATGTCCATGTGGCTCCTGCCCTCTCCTCCTTCATGTCTCTGCTCAAAAGCTACCTTCTCAGAGAAACCTTCCCTGACCCCCACATAGAAAACAGCACCCTGATCCTGGTCCTCTCTCTCTCCCTTCACACTGGGAGGGTCTCTCCATGGCACTTATTACCATCAACATGTTATGTGATTATTTATTTACTGTCTCTCCCCAGAAGGCCAGCTCCCTGGGCACGGGGAATTTGTTTTATTCTCTGTTGTATCCCCAGAGCCCAGAACAGTACCTGGTACATAGTAGGTGTTCAATAAATAGCCAAATGAATGAAGAAATGAATGGATGAATGCAGAAGAGTGAGTTATGGCACAGGGAAGGAGGTACGCTTGGATGGGCTTTTCGTTCGCTTCATGGAGGATGCAGCTGTCCCCATCCCCCTTGTCCCAGCCTCCCCAGCCCTGCCCGCCTTCCCACGCCTCCTTCACCTTGCGCAGGTCCTGTGCCAGTGCCTCCTGCAGCAGCTGCTTGTGGTCCTGCAGGAAGCGGCCCAGGCCCTTGAGCTGCGCAGCCCGGAACTCGGCGGGCCTCGTCAACCCTGAGCTGAAGGCCTCCCGCAGTCGCCGCAGTGTGTCTGAGAAGGGGTCCATCCTGCCACTGGGGGGAGGGAGGCAGCATGGGCCCGGGGCTCCCCCACCTTCTCCGGCACCCCTACCCTGTCCCTGCCTGCACCCATGTGGGCACACAAACAGCCCCATGGGGACTCACGTGTAACCCCAGGTGGCCAGGGCTGGTCCTGCCTCCACATCTTTCTCTCTCTCTCTGTTTCTCTCACCACTGGACCCCAAAGCTGCCATAGGACTGGCGTGGGGGCTCAGGCACAGCTACTCCACAACTCCACAGCCCTTAACGGTGAGCAGGCAGCCAGGGGACCACACAGAAATTAGCCGCAAGCCATGGCCCCACCCCTCTCCAGTGCTCTTCCTGGAGGAGTTTGATAAGTGCACCAACCGCCACCATAGCCACCACTTTGGGACATCAAGACACAGAATGCTGTATCGACCCCTGCCCCCAGCCTGGAGGCACTGCCCAGGGAGGCCAGGTGGGCTGGCAGTGGCTCAGAGGGCTGGATGACGGTGGGCAGTGGCCTCCTCTCTCCATGCCCGAGCTTCCCAGCAAGACGGGGAGAGAACCCCAGCCTCCCAGAGGCCCTGCTGCCCACCCCAGTCTGGGCTGGTCACTGTGTTGGAAGAGCAGGGAACAGTGGGGCCAAGGGGTGAGGAAGCAGTCATGCCTCCATGCTATCATCAGCCAGAGCTGGCAGACAGGCTATGGGCACCAACATCCCCCCAGGCCACACTGCCTGTTTACTTGAAGCTTATCAGAGGCGTTTTCTGACGCACGCACTCCTCAGCCTGGTGCCAAGAACGCAGAGGGACCCTTCCTCCTGCCCTCCCTGACTGCCTTCCCTTCAGAGTTCAGCTGGGCTGACGTCTCCTCCAGGCAGCCCACCCTGATTACTTCCTCACACATTCTCACAGTGGCCCCTTGGCTCTGCTGCTCACCACACTGGGTCATACCATGTCCACCTCCCCGGCCTTCCCTCTTATCTCCTGCCTCCACTCCCACTGGACTAGGACGCAGGCCCCTCTTGGCTTACTTAACTTGTCGTTTGGGTCTTAGTGCCCCAATCTCCTCATCTGTTAGAGGGATACTGACAGAACCCACAGCTGACACGGTGTCTATCAAGGATGAGACCACACGGTCCAGTTCAGTGCCTCCAAGGCTGCCAGCTATTGTTGTTAAGGGGCTACTGTCACCATGGCCCTCAGTTTTCTGGAGGGCTGAGCCTGCTGCAGCCAAGAGGATGGCCTGGCCCAACCGGCACTTGGTGTCGAAAGCATGGCTGGAGCCCTGGGCTGCCTCCTAAGCGTGCTGGGACCAAGCTGACCCCACGGGTCTCCTGTTCTGTTTGGGAGAAGCTGGGCAGTTTCCTCAGGCACCATGGCTCCCAGAGAGGGGGGCAGTGTGGCAGAAGGGGGCAGTCTCATAGCCCCTCTCAGCCCCAGGCTTATCCCCTGCCTGACCCCCCTTCTGGGAGGAAGGCACATTGGCCTGTGCCAAGACCCAGGAGCGAGAGCCCTGCCGGGGTCTAGAGTCGCCATCTGGGCTTGTCCCCCGGCTCTGCTTCTGACTGGCCATGTGACCTTGAGCAAGTCACTCACCCTCTCTCTGCCTCAGTTTCCTTGTCTGTAAAGTGAGGATAATAGAGCACTTGCTATCATCCTGAGGATTAATGGACACAATGCTGGATAAAGCATTTGCCATTGTGCACATAATACGCGCTCAGTAAAAGTCAGCTGTGGTTATTTTTTCTAAGTACTCCACAATCTTTATTTCCCTCCCCCCACCCAGCCTTTTTGCTGTCCTGCTCTCACCTGCAGATTTCTACTGATGGATGCTGACGGCACAGCACACCCACCCTCTCCTGCCTCCCCATGGTGGTTTGCACTTTCATTAGACTCTATACCAAACCCACGAAAATGTAAGTCACGTCATTTGAATGGTGCTCCTCTGGACAAGGTGAGGGGTGGGAGTCTGAATGGAAACTTCCCGCACCCTCTCCTGGCATCCACGAAGCCAACTCACCCAATATTGCCCCTTGCGGGTGGGCACCCCTGCCCAGAGCCCTGAAGAGTCCCCGCTGGGGAACGGGGAACTGGGCACAACCCAGGCAAACAGAAGAGTCAAAGCCGCCTTCTGCCTGGGATCTGGGGGGACCCCCTTGGCCTGTGACCTCGCAACGGACTCACAGATGAGGGGGTTCCTGCATTGGGCTGGGCTGGGGCCCCCACACCCCCTTCCCTGGCACGTCTGAGCTGTGTAAACTCATAAGGAAGTCGGACCCACCCGGCGCCTGCACGCGCCTGAGTGACCCGTTTGACTACCACAGCCTGGCGAGGCCACCTTTTATTCTCTGCACTGAAGGAGATAAAGACCATGGCACAGAGAGAGCAAGGAGCTTGCCGGAGGCCACCCAGCTTCTTCGCCCTGAAAAACCGGAATCCTGAGGAACAGAGAGCTGCCTAACCCCCACCGCCCATCCCCCAACCTGTGGCTGGACAGGGAGCAGGGCAGCCTCACCGCTGAGGAGAGACGACACTTCTGCAAACCCAGGGCCAGGCAGGCAGTGGCAAGTGGCGAGGATGGGGGTTGGGGAGCAGGCAAAGGACAAAGCCAGGCTGTGTATGTGGCCGTAAGTGGCCTGGCCTGTCTGAGCCACCAGCGCCCCGAGTTGCTGAGCCAGCCCACCAGCTAGGCCCCTAGCCCCGACTTCTTGCGGCTGTCTCCCCAGCCTCCCAGAACACTGTACCTGAGACTCTGCTAAGCTGCCCTTCCTCCTGGCCGTCCAAGCTCTGCTGGCCGCCCTGGCTACCGTAACGCCTGCAGTTATGAAAGATCCTGGGCGGGGCTGCCCTGGCCTGGTGCCTGGGCTGTGATTCGTCACCCGCCTCAGGGTAGAGAGATAGTTCAGTGACAGGACAGCTAGATTGGGGCCAGAACAGAGATTGCTTCCCCTAAACCCCTCAGAGACTGTCTAAGCAACCCCTCCCTACACCCCAG